ATTAACGTACCCCATTCTAATATAAATTCCAGTACTACACTATGTTTGTTTTGATTCGCTTGAGACCGAAGATAGTACCAGAGTTGAGCTCGTTTCTTCGGGACCTACTAGTCTTAGAGTTACCTCTATGGTAGTACCAACCGGTGGAAACTAACGATTTTTAATTGGCTCACTACTTGACTACCCTATTGGGCCCTTTACAGCTATAAGCGTACCCCATTCTAGTCGAAATTCTAGTACTACACTATGTTTGTTTTGATTCGCTATGAAAGTTTGACAGATAAAATGAGGGGTTAGTGGATTTTCCTATGTTTTGAGGGATGCATCGAATATGCTTGGAACCGAAGATAGTACCAGAGCTGAGCCAAAAAGTTGAGCACGTTTCTTCCGGACCTTCTGGTCTTAGAGTTACCTCTATGCTATAACCATAGAGGTAACTCTAAGACCAGAAGGTCCTGAAGAAACGTGCTCAACTTTTTGGCTAATCTCCTGGTACTCTCTTCGCTCCCAAGCTAATCGATGCACCCCTCGAAACATAGGAAAATCAACAAACCCCTCATTTTATCTGTCAAACTTTCATAACGAATCAAAACAAACATAGTGTAGTACTAGAATTTCGACTAGAATGGGGTACGTTAATCGATTTGCTTGGGACCAATGCTAGCCAAGTAGTAAAGGCCGGCGCACAATGCATACATCTTCGAGTTTTTTGACAGATAATGCATGGGCTAACTGTCAAAAAACCTGAAAACGTATCCATTGTGCGCCGGTCTTAAGCCAATTTAAAATTGTTAGCTTCCACCGGTTGCTATAGCCCAACTGTTTTGATTGGGAATTTGATAGTTTGGAATGTTTACTAAAACGTATTTCAAAGGAAAAAGGTGAGATAAGAATATCGTACACTTCCCTAATCCCCCAGCTGCATATCAGAACCATATGGTAGGCACTGAGAAAATTGCAGTCGAACTTACGAAATGCAATTCGCATTGCTCTATTCGAAATCAAGTCAATTGAACGCCGACTATTAGATCGGGGTGTGTTGAATCAACACACTTAGGCTGTGAACCATTTGCCGAGTTAAATTTAACTCGTGGTTAAAAATGACATTTCGAAAGTTATTTCTTATGTTCGAAAATCCCGTGCTGTCGATCGACCGGTTTTCGAGCCACGGTCGTCAAAATTTAACTTCTTGTCTGTCAGAAATAACCATGCTCGGATAGCAGGGTTAATCGATAACTTTCCATCTGTCAAATTTTAACCAAGAGTTAAAAAAAAATCACCAAATGGTTCAGAGCCTTAAACCATGTTTTTGGCCCTTCAGAGTACGATACAAGCAAAAATAAAGGAATCGCTTAATCTATCGAGTTTTAAAATAATTTTGAGCTGTAGAATATCGAGTTGTGGATGGTGTGTCGAGAGAAATCGACGTTTAAGGTAACGTCTTTGTTTAAATTTGACACATAGGCCATGTTAATAATAAATAGAGCCATCATGGGAGCAAAATAAAGATTATTGGTTTTCGGGATCAACATAATTGAATACACACAAAAAAAAAATGAATTAGTCACATTTCTGATGCTCGTGTTGTCGTCTTGTCAATGTAACTTATTTGTAACCTTTTTGTCTTTATCCAGCATCTCGAAGACTTTCAGCTTTAGTAATAAAGGGCACGGACTGTACTTGGTAACACCCACCGAAATACAGAAGTTCACGGTCTGCCAGGAGTTCTGGTAAGTTTTAATCAAAATTGATTGTACATTTCGTTAAAAGTAAAACGCCCATTTTGCTGAAATTTTAATACATTTCATAGTCGAACTATTTAGACCATTCGTTTTTATTATCTTAACATTTGAATCAACACCAATGATTTTTTGCGCTTGAAGTCCGAGATGTGCAGCGAGCATTTCTCACTTCATTTTTACAACGCAAAAACAAATACAGTTTATTACTAGAATTGAAATCTTATTGTTTTACGTATCTGTAACAAGCTTAAACTCTATTCTATCTACTGCTTCAATAAGAACTAAGTTTCGTCAACTGTGTGCAAAGTTATTAGCAAATGAACAGTTCGTAACCAAAACTGTGTAAGCCAAGCATGTCGTAGAGGCGTTTTTTTTTTGTATAGTTCTGTTTTGAACGATATTGATAGTAGATAGAGACAATCGCCATTAATTCATTTTATTGTTTATTACATTTCTCATCATAGCAATCAATATAATGAAATGCTTGGAGAGTTGTACGTAGCACATGAAATGCCAGAAGCGCCAAAGGAAAGCTTTTTCAAAGGGCTGTTTGGAGGTGGAATGAGGAATCTGGATCGTGAGGAACTATGTAAGTATTCTGCAGCTCATAAACTGTTATCATTCAATTAGCAATTTAGGATAAGTGATAATTATTTGTTCGATAATCACGACTAAATCATTATGCCGTTTTGATTTTCGAAAAAATTCTATTTGCATGGGCACATTGTCAAGCAAAATATTGTTATCTATAATTCAAGGCCGATTATTTGACAAACAATTTAACACTACATTTTGTTGTTTTTTTATAAGTTGGAGAATCAAGCGGAAAGGCGAACAAATCGATTGCAAAGCATATACCTGGTCCAAACGCTAACATACAGGACCTGAACACGCGAGCAACGTCGGCATCGTCTGAAGTAAGCAGAGCTCATCAACTGATGCTAGAACGTGGTGACAAATTAAGTCAGCTTGAAGACAGAACTGAACGTATGGCTGGTGAAGCGCAACAGTTTGCCGGTTCGGCGCATTTATTGATGAACAAATACAAAGACAAAAAGTGGTATCAGCTGTAATTAGTGTAAAGTCTACTGCAAACAAAGTCTTAAAGGTCTTTTCAGTCCTATACATGGGTCAGTATAGCTTTAGTGCAAATTGTTTCAATGTTATTTACTGTTATGTTATTGATCGAGAAATGAATAAACAATAATAAATTGTAAAAAATCTTCCATGGCAATTTTTAGATATTGCCGCGAATATACTATAATTCACTATTTTGCTATTGGAAAGCTGTAATAGATCTTATTTGTAAGTTTTTGCATAACGGTGAAACTCCAATATTATAGAATGATCATGCTGCTGCTATTATTACTAAACTGTTAAAAAAGATCTTTTTTGGATACACAAAAAAGTTTAAAGAATAGATCCAAATAAGTGTGACATTATTACAATGACAGACGATGTAAATAATCCATTTTGATAATAAGTACTTGTAAATATGTTACATACATTAGGAATAAAAAATTAAGCATTTGAAAATTTTTATAAAACGCGATTCCGATCTTCTGCACATATCACATAATCCCCAACCAGACTAAAACAGTATGTATATTAACTACCCGAGCAAAGCTGAAGATCAAATTGAAATCAAAATTTGCTGTTATGATATAACTTATTTTGAATACTCCAGTTGATCTCATTTTGGTTGACTTAACGGTTAACACAGCAAAAATGAGAGCAAAATGTTACACTGTTGAATCAAACGGAAAAGTAATCCTGCTATCAATGAAATCAATTTGATTATTGATTTTGCATTCATGTTTAACTGAATACTTGCCTGGCGTAAATGGTTAGTATCCATGCTTCTCACGTTGAAAGACTTGAGCTCAAATCTCACCCCGAGCAAAACACGAATGACCTCAAATGTGTTATACAAAACAAATAAACAATAATCGTTATAAAGAGCTTTGAGTGTGTTGGTTTATTTCCTTTAAATTCCGTTATAATCACCCCTATTCTGTATTTCGTTTCGAACGAAATTCTCATACAAAAAAAAAATATTTTTTTGTATGAGAATTTCGTTCGAAACGAAATACAGAATAGGGGTGAATATCTTATCTTTTGACAGATACACGTATTTCGTCTACTACTTGCAGACTTCGTCAGTGCCAAGTACTCAACACCACTTGAGTACTTGGCACTAATGAAGTCTGCAAGTATAGTAGACGAAATACGCGTATCTGTCAAAATATAAGCAATTATAACGGAATTTAAAGGAAATAAACCAACACACTCAAAGCTCTTCATAAAAGGATTCCGTTAAATTAAAAAAATAATAATCGTTAGTTCAACAACATGAACTTAAATAAAATTTTAAACAATACGTTAACAGCAGAACTTCAAGTTAAGTTGTTTAAGGTTTTTCCTTGTAGAGTCCATTTTTCCATAACACCTCGCAATATGTGAAATTGCGAAGTGTAATACGAAAAAGGACGCTACAGGGAATCACCTTAAGTTATTTAAAAAGTCTTGACTGCATAATGAAAGCACAATATGATATCAGACTTCTGTCGCGGCAATTGAAATCAAAATTAGTTTTCATTATGATAGGAACTGCAAACTTTAATATCGATTTGCTTTCATTTTGTTAACCGACTTTGCTCGGGTATTGTACCAACTGTTTGTTTTTTTCACTTCGTTTTTAACGTTAGCCTTTCAAATGTCCTACAAAAAAAAATTAAATATGATTTCTGAGCGAGCCTTCCTGATGTAATTTGATTTTTGCTTCTGCTTGTTCATTTTTCCATACACGCAAAGAAATAGATTTTAAAATTTAGATTCAATAAAAATTTGGATGACTCCTATTTCTTATACTGTCGGTGTGCTGATAAAAATCATTTCTTCTACACTCAACGCTCTACACTCAAAGCAAAGCTGGCTATTTGCTACACATATTTGGATTAGATTCCAATGGCCCAAATGTTCATGACACGTGTCCTATCTGCTTCTCCTTCCCAGGGTATAAATAATAATACAAATAGCGTAGATGGACATCCGCTGGTGCACTTGCCGCCACCCTGTATAATGGGGTTGTTTCTCAAATTGAAAGCAAGACAAAGGAATTATGGAGTACATACGACCTATTCAAAATGCACTCCTGCATTAGGCATTGGCTATGCTTTACACTAAGAGTTGCTTGCTATTTGCTTGCGAAAAAAGGGAAAATGACATCGGAAATTAAAAACACAGTCGGAGACAAACTTCCTCTACGTATAATATATTTTTAAAGAACGATGCGATGAAGTTTTTTTTCTATCTATGAAGTTATGTTTTATATCACAACAGATGCTAAAACGACGGTTATGTCATCAGGTTTTCCGCCTAAAATAACAAAGAAAAATAATGAGTTAGATAATTTATTGTGCTTATGATCCATTGAACTTGTACCCATCGTGTTTATGTTATTGCGTCGCGCATTGATAGAAAATGGCGACATAAATTCACTATCGAAGGATAACGATCGAGCGATCAATGCAATTGAATTTGCACACATTTGCAGCTTTACAGGATCTTCTTCGCCTTCAACCTGAAATAATGAATACACAGACAAACATTTCAAAAGTTTGTTAAACAATATTTGTATATCCAATCTTTATGCAATACCTCACTCAATGTATCCACCAATAGCTTCATAGGAACGTTGTCGAACACTCCATCTGTTGCAACCAATATGATATCCCCTTTTTCCACCGGGAAGTTCATTGTGTCCGCAGACTCTGGTCTGTCACTCAATACGTTATCTAAACCTGGAGGTGGCAGCGAAAGCTGAAACGGCGTATTGAAATAGTGTTGTTGCTCTTCACTACGATGTACAATTTGACCACCGCGAACCACTATGAAACCACTGTCTCCTATATTGGCTGTATATAATGTGCTGTTTTCGTGATTTAGGATTAGAACACACGCCGTGCTGCTACCTAAACAAAAATATACAAAAAAATATAGGGAAAAATTGAACATTTAAACTTGTATGGAGAACTCGAACTATTTTGGTACAACGTCACACGTAAAATTACATTACGTGATGTGACGTGATTCGTGAAGCGATCTAACGCCAACTTTTTGCAGCATACTTTTGTCACTAAAGCTCTTCAAATTCTTAATATTATTCTTCGATTCGAGATTTCAGATAATCAAGGATTATCACAATTAATTTTCTCCTAGGGATCAGGGTGGGCAGTGAATTTTCATTTTGAAATTCCTGGTTTTTTTTTCGTTTTCCCGGTTTGAATCTTAAAAATTCCCGGTGTTAATAATTCAACAAAAAAACTAAATTGTACCTACGCATTTTTAAAAACGTGGCCAACTGTAAATTTTCGGAGGTTATTTGTGGGAAAAATAAAAGCAAAATTACAGAAAGTGTTAGTTAGCTGAAAGTGTTAGTTAACTGAAAGTATAAATTCAACTCTCACTCCGTTACTAACATAAATATTAACCTTTCAGTACTCGCGCTGATGCACAGAGTTAAAAACGAAAAAATATGTAAAACCTGCTGACGTTGCACCTCGCTGAACGTGAAACTAAACATGGTTCATTAAATTTAATATTGACGTCCAATAGACCAATAATTGAAGAATATTACTGAAAGGTTATGGAGTTTCCAAGGCAGTGGCGTTTTCTTAGACTCAATCTACTTGTGCACCAACTCTCAAAACTTAAACAATTATCGAAATATTGCTTGCAATGAATAGATATCGAGTAAACTAGAAGATTAAGTGTATTTTTCTACCGATTCGAGTATGAATATGGCATTAAATCTGATTTTGAAAGTTGTTGCATAGGTAAAAAGTGAGGTTACGGGACACCACTGCTCAAAGGATAAAAAAATGATTTAAGAAGCCGGGGCTTTGAAATTTGTGTAGAGTTTGAAACTAGAACTTTTCTACAAAATATGTGATTAATAACAATCTTCGTGATGCAAGATTTGTAGAAAAAATAATTAAAATGTGAGATTTTCAAAAAATTTCAAACTAACAGATTTGAAAAAAAAATTATAGTTATGAGTGTTGTTGAATCGTAATTGTCAAGGCTCTAAGACTAGGAAGCATTTTAAGGGTTGTAGCAAATTACGGAACAACCTATAGAATCTTGCAGACAAACCATAGTAAAATTTAAAAGTATTCAAAGTGTTGATTTCAAACGAACATTGAGGAGGATTCCCACATTATTTTCGAATGAGATTTCAAAAGAAATAAAATTCCTACGTAATTCTGAAGAAATTTGTATGAGAATCGCGAGGAAAATGACAGATGAATTTTATGAAGAATTCCACGAGAATTCAACAAGAAACAGAGTTCTAAGAGTGTTGCATGCGAAAGATTCATCACAGAGCTCCAACAAAGTTGATAGCAAAAAAAAAAATTGTTGATAATTAGAAATAAATTCTTTAAAATACGCCAAGGGGTTTCTAAATTTCGAGAGATTTTTGCTGTTTTGAATAGAGTTAAAAGAAAATTTTGAAAAGAATTTCAAAGTCTCCGAATAGGTTCAAGTGAATTCTAAGAAAACATCCAATCAAATTCTTAGAAGCGGTATCAAGGAAATAAAAAAAAAATCAACTATAATTATTACGCGAAGTGTTTTCTGATTAATTTCAGAAGAATTCCATGATAATTCATAGCAGAATTCCAAGAATTCATATCATGAGAATTTTAAATAACGAAAAATTAAAACCCCGGAAAAGAATAGTTCAGTTTATGTTTTAACAAATATTTGTTTCCAAAGTGCAGTATCTTCAATATATTCTTTTAACCCTCCGTTACTCGCGTTACTTTGTACAACACACATGAGTTTTCCATTGTCATTTTGTTGCCGAGTTACCAATCCATCTGAAAACAACGAGCATTCCTTAAAAAACTTGTTTTGATCTAAACAACCTAAACTTTGATTGCAGTAAACACATAAAAAATGCGGAATAGAGAAAATGTAAATGGAAACCACGTAAACTGTGACCATACTACGGGGGATTTGACTTAATTGATTACAACATGGAATATATCGAGGTCCTAACCAGATAGAAAGTTACTGTCTCCGACAAAGTTGTTCAGGAGATCATAGCCTTGTCACTGGTGGACAGTAGTTTAGAATTTTCTCACTAGTAGCGCTAGTATACATGTGAAATTCTCGCATGTGATATATCTCGAGATCCTGACCAGATAGAAAGTTACTGTCTTTTACAAAGTTTTTCAGAAGGTCGAAGCCTATTGCTTGGTGCTTAATAGTTCAGAATTTGCTCACTACGCGACGCTAGTATACACGTGAAATTCTCATATAAAATATCTCGAGTTACCAAGAAAAGTACTGTCTTTGGCATAGTTTTTCAGGAGGTCAAGGCCTTTTCGCAGGTGGACAGTAGTTCAGAGTTTTCTCACTTCTCGGCGCTACTATCCATGTGAAATTCTGGTATATAAAATATCTCTAGATCCTGACCAGATAGAAAGTAAATGTATCCGGCATAATTTTTCAGGAAGTCAAGATCTTTTTGTTGGGTGACAATAGTTCAGAATGTTTTCACTATGCGGCGCTAGCATATATGTGCCTTTCTCGCATATTCAGCTCGAGATCTTGATCAGCTAGGAAGTTGCTGTCTTCGGCAAAGTTGTTTAGGGGGTCAAGACTTTTTGGCTGATAGACAGTAGTTAAGAATTTTCTCCCCACGTGGCAAATTTTTCGCTGAGATCCAGCAAAATAAAATACCGAGCTGCTCGGTGGTGCCCATCTCGGCAAAAAATCTAAGTGTGTAGGTACATCCAAAGTCATAAAGAAAAGGCCTGATAATATGAAATCATCATCTTTTTCATTATACCGTTATTCCTACGCTGCTAGAAGTGTGACGTCGAATATAAGGTTACATACACCTTATCGTAAATCTAAACGAGAAGAATCTACTCAGTTCGTCTAAAATGTGTAATGTAATGTATAATGTATAAAATATATACACACGAGTTAGCCAGTCGAGCCATAGGACTACCTCAGTCGTGAGATTGTTTTACTCAGTTGTCTGGAGAAATTTCCAAAAGCGTAGTAGCGCTGAATAACCAACACTCCCGAAAAATACACCCCCAAAATACATGCAAATGTGTTTTGTTCGAAGCTCTCTCATTTTACAACCATATTTTGATCTCCTTAGGTTATTTGAATGGTATGAATGGTATAGCATAAGGGTTCTATAACTACTTTTAATTTCAAATATTTTTTTCAACTCAATTCTGAGAAAATCAATCATGATTCTTCAGAGAAAATTTTGAAAAATAGCGTAGCTTTGGGGATAAATTTTGGTATACAAAATTTGAAAATTATTTTAAGCAATTTGCCTCTTCGTATTTCCATTGAAAATCTTTCAAATTTTCTAAAAAGAACGATAATTGGACATAAAATGAGAAAGATATGAACATAACACATTTCCATGTTTTTTGGGGGTGTCCTTAAACGTATAATCGGGAGTGTACGGTTTTATAAATGTCTCCATTCAACTGAGCAAAAGTGCCTCACTCTCTGAGCTAGTCTCGTTGTCTGTGCACACGTTAATACAGGGATTTTTTTTTGTTATAGACCCCTCGATAAGTCATTTTTAATTTAGCCTAAAATGAAAGGGATATTATTTTTTTAACATAATGTTTTCCATCTGAGATACGTGTTACAACTAATTTATCAGAGGTATACAAGTGGAACGACTCACCCCAATTTATGTATCCACAAATCTGCATGAAAATCTTCACCAGTAAAAGTAATCCAGAATATATTTGTCTTATCCAAATTATATTTTTATTTTATGATATTTGATATGCGAGAATTGCTCACCAAGTTTTGAGAAATTTCTGAACTACTTTTCATCAGCCAAAAGATCTTTATCTCCTTAACAGCTTTGCCAAAAACAGTAAATTTCTAGCTGTTCAGGATATCGAGATATTATGTATGCGAAGATTTCACGTGTATAATAGCGCCACGTAGTGAGAAAATTCTGTACTGTCGACCAACGAAACAGTTTTGATCTCCTGTACAAGTTTGCCGATGACAGTTTAGCAGGTCTCGAAATATATCTAATGCGAGAATTGCACGTGTATACAAGCGCAATGATGTGTAAAAATGAATTTCTGTCACCAGCCAAAAGGCCTCCCGTTGGTCCCCGGTTCATGAGTTGATGGGTCGATAGGTAGGGTCCAGGTGTGGGAGCTGCCTTCCTGGCACGTCGGTAGCATTGGTGCTCAGCACGGAAAACAAGATCGACGGAAAAAACAAACCAGCCAAAAGGCCTTGGCCCCCTGAACAACTTTGCCCAAGACAGTAACATTCTATTTGGTCAGGATCTCGTGATATTTTATGTGTGAAAATTTCACGTGTATACTAGCACCGCTTAGGAAATTCTCAATTATTGTACACCAAGCAATAGGCTTTGACCTCCGGAACAACTTTGTCGAAGACAGTAACTTTCTATCTGGTCAGGATCTCGAAAAACAAAACACATTCGAGAATTTCACGAGCATACTAGCGCTACGTAGTGAGAAAATTTTGAACTACTTTTCACTAGCGAAAAAGTTATGACCTCTTGAACAACTTTGTCGACGACAGTAACTTTCTATCTGATCAGAATCTCGAGATATTTTACATGCGATAATTCCATGTGTATACTAACGCCACGTAGTGTGAAAATTCTGAACTATTGTGCACCAAGCAATAGGCATTGACCTAATGAACATATTTTGTAAAACGGTCTACACTGATTGACGACAAATAAATGAAATGAAAATGAAATGAACAACTTTTTCGAAGACAGTAATTTTCTACCTGTTCATGATTTCGAGCTATAGCATACGCGAGAATTGTACACGTTTACTAGCGCCACGTGGTGAGAAAATTCTGGGCTACTGTCCACCAGGCAAAAAGTCTTGATCCCCTGAACAAGTTTGCACAAAACAGT